AAACCAAACGTCCATGGAACCGGAAGTCCAGCTGGGCCGAGCAAACTCGCGCGGACAGGCAGACGGATGGGCCAACCGATGCACCAGGGCTGGATAAATCTCCCGTGCGCAGGGGTCGACTGCTGCCCACAAGCCGGCTGTGCCAGGCTACAAGGCTCGTGCCGCTCGCAGCTCCGCGCTGCAAGATGTCTGTGGAAACCGTGTGAGCTGCGGCTCCGGGTGAGTCCTGGGGACACCCCAAGCTGTTTTTACGTGGGCCCATCAGTCCTCCCGGCACGTTTTCAATTCAGAGGCAGGACGCCCCTGACACTTTGAGTGAAGTTTCTGGATTGAACGCTCGGGATTGCAGGCGCCAGGCTGGACAATAGGGATGGTTTGGAAAACCGGATCAATGAAATACGACGTGGATGGGAGCACCGGGGGAATCCGCTTGGCCACATGTCCACGGTTGAAAGGTCAGCATGAGTGGAGGGGAGCCAGGCTGCCACGAATGTCTGCAAAGCATTACTGCTGCCCTTCTGAAACGAGACGTGTGATGGATGGATGGAAACTCTGCCTGGGCTCGGCATGGCAGGCCGGGTGTGAATCATTTGCAAAGGGCTGGAAACCGTTCTGGTGCTGTCATTTCCTGCCATTCCCAGCTGAATCAGGCGCGGTGGAGCTGCCTTCCTTCTTAAAGAGCCTCAACTGTGGGGCTGCTCCTGCCAAGCTGTTACTTAAGGGGGGCAGGGGATGTTCTCACCCATGCCACCATGCATTCAAGACCAGGGAGTTTGCCCATCTCCCCGTGCCCCCTGCCTCTGTGTTTCTGATGCCAGACTTGGCCTCGGCTGCTTCCAGATAGGCCCGTGCAGTCAAGCCCCTGCTCTCGGACCCGCCGGTACCGCAGCGTTGCTTCAAACTTCTGATGCCACAACCCGGAGCTGCCCCTTCACGCGTCGGGAGAGCATGAAGTCGAGAGCATACGCTCCAGCTCCCGCAGACAGGATTTCTGCAGGCGCCTGGGCTTCTCCTCGCTGCACGAGCATCCGGTGCAAAGTCAGAGGCCGGATCCCTATGGACTCCCACGCAGCCAGGGCGTCAGAGACAGCTTCCAGCCTTGCAGGGAGCCAGGACAGACAGGCGAGGTTAGCAAGAGGTGTGATGCCGCCTCGGCCCTGCCACGCGGGGAGATGAATCATGCTTGCGAGTGGCGGCTGTGAGGCATCGCTCCTTCAGGCATGGTGCATCTTCCAGGGGAGCCGGAGGACTTGCCCTGAGTTATCTCCACTCGGTGCTTATTAATTATGTTGAATCACAGCCTCCCGAAGGGCAGGGAGCTCCACTCCAGAAAGGACAGGGTGCCTGCAGTGAAATGCTACGCTCTTGCCCTGCTGTCCCAGCCAAAACCTACTCCCACCAAAGTCCAGAGCATAAACTTCCCTGAGTCCCAACAGGGAAAAGCATTGAGCCTTTGGGTGTCTGCCAAAGTGGGAAGGCAGGGGCTTTCTGGAAAAGCTCGCTTTGAGCAGAGCCCATTTCCTAACACTCATGAAATTAAGTGTGCAAGATTTATTTGCCATAAGCCAGGGAGATCCAGGAAGCCGTCCGTTCTACGAGCCAACGTGGTGATTCCCAAAGAGCATCCCTCCTATACGCCAGCTCGGTCTGGACCGCCCTGATTTGCCCCTAGTGACGTCTGGCTTGCCGCTTTCCTGACAACGTATCTGCCGCCGAGCTCCTATGGGCGGAAATTAATTGGGTCTAGAAAGGAAAGTTACTGAAGCTATTGCAACCGCTCCTTGCACAGCGAGGAAGTCCGGTGCATATATTAGAAACGATGCAGGTCATGATAGGCATAGAAATAGCCTTGCTACAATAATCTGCTGAAAAGCCGCCTGGTGCTATCGCGATAGGTGTCTGAGAGACGCCAAAGGGGGTGTTAGTCTAAAAGCTCAGCGGTGAGCTCAAAGGCCACTCGGATGTGGTGCGATACACTCTTTTTCTTTAAAATAGCTTCTGTCAGCCAATGTCTTGGTCTGCTAGTGGCAAGCCCTGCTTCGGAGAGGCCTGGGGTGCAAAAGCATGGACCAGACTCTAGCAAACCATAGGCAGTGGGTTTGCAAATGGTTTTCTAATAGCTGCTGGTTGAAAATGCACGTCTGCTTTGCAGGCCCAGAGGGCACAACTGTATATGCTGGTCTGCAAACCAGAACTGGCCCTTTTGCACGTGCAGCTGCTGGATGTACGTGCATCAAATGCACGTACAAGTTAGACTCTTGCGTCCACGTTTGCCGAGCTGGACATGAGGGCACTGGAGGCAGCAGCAGGTGCTATTTGCAGTGACTTTCTGGAGCTGCATATGGCACCTTGTGTCCCCTTTGCCGGGTGCATCTGCAGTCAGGTGTGATCCAGGGCTCGGGCCCTTTGCTCTCGTCCTGCATCAGCAGCAGGGAAGGGTGGTGAGAACGAGCAAGCCAGGCAGCCAAACTCTGCTCTTCCCCCATCTAACGAGAGACCCCGATGGTCTGGGATAACCACAGGAAAAGGTGGAAGGCAGCTGGTTACCAGGGAAGCCGTTTCTCTGGAAGAAGACAGATAGCCCTCGGTAGCTGGGGGCTGAGATAAGACCAGCACTGACCGCCTGTGAAGAGCTTCCATGCTCCAAGCATTGGGCGGGCATCATGAACGGAGCCTCCCACGGCCCCA